AATGCGAGGACCCCAATGCGAGGACCCCAGGTCAGTTGCGGCATCTCCATAGGGGGACTCACAGCTGCCTGTAACTCCAGCTCTCGCTGATCTCGTGTCCTCCTCCGGCCTCCACAGGTCCCTGCATGCGCGTGGTACACTGACACACATGTATACACCACTTTCAGGAGTCAGTTCCCTCCCTCCACCACGAGGGTCCGCGGAACTGAACTTAGCTCACATCTGTTACAACGGCAAGAGCCCTTACCGGATGTGTCATCTTGACGGCCCAAGGGAGACTCTAAAATACTTTATATGAGCAGAAGACAGCAGGCTGCAAGTTTTTAAAAACCTCTCTGAAATCTGTGTACCTAAAAAGAAGAATTCTATTCTAACCTGGCGTGGTGGTACAGGTCTTTAATCCTAGCATGGGGAGACAGAGACCGGTGGACCATCACATGTTCAAGGCCAGCCTGGATGGTCTACATAGCAAGACCCTCACTCAATAATCATGATAAATCTGACAAGAAAGGAATAAAGTACAAAACATGGAAAACACTGTGCTAACAGACGATCAAGCTTTGTGTGATCTTACATGAAATGCTTCCGATAGACCAGTTCACAGGAACAGAAAGCAGGTAGCCTAGAACTGGGCAAGGGCTGTTCTCAGGGGGCCTGGGCAGATAACAGTGAGTTAAAGATCTCACAGGGTCCCCAATCTATCCTGTACCCCCTCGGTCAACACACTGGTGTCCTCTCAAAGAGAGGCCCAGGAAGTCATCTCAACTCTTTCTGGAGTGTGGGGCCACCTTCAGGGTCAGACGGTCTCACTGGGGTGACAGTAACTTCAGGGTCAGACGGTCTCACTGGGGTGACAGTAACTTCAGGGTCAGACGGTCTCACTGGGGTGACAGTAACTTCAGGGTCAGACGGTCTCACTGGGGTGACAGTAACTTCAGGGTCAGACGGTCTCACTGGGGTGACAGTAACTTCAGGGTCAGACGGTCTCACTGGGGTGACAGTAACTTCAGGGTCAGACGTTCTCACTGAGGTGACAGTAACTTCAGGGTCAGACGGTCTCACTGGGGTGACAGTAACTCCCTCCACCCTCAGTGTACTGGGAACTGAGTGTTCCAAGGCTAAGGCAATTCTCTAACCGTGTTGGGATTGTCTAGAGATTACCCACTTACAGACAGCCAGGCCCAGGTCACAGAGCCCAGTCACCACGCACGTTCAACGCCGAGACCCGGGAAGGCACTGGCACAGAGGTGACGAGACTCACTAGCCCAGCCAGGCTGTTTCCATTCGTCTCTCATGTCGGTGGAGGGCCAGCGGTCTGGTTTTGGTGTTGCCTATCTGTAGACCAGCACCTACGTCTGTTCCTCTTCCTCAGCTGGGAGGGTACCCTCTGCCCGCTTCCATCTGCTGGCTGGCGTTCTCCTTTTGCTTTCCAGGAACTTGTGAAGACAGCAAGAACGTGTATTTTCTCATGGGAGCGTTTGTCAGGTGCAGGGTCGTGAAGGCCTGTTGGGTTCAGGATGGTGGGTGGGTGGGTAACAAGAGCTTCAGGTCCCATTTAACATATACAACTCAGAGAATTTGGGTGTGTTCACAGATTGGCCGGCAGGCAAGTCTATGGGGGGCATTTTATTGATTAATGATTGATTTGGGAAGGCCCAGCCCATTGTGGCCATATTGTGGCGGGTGCCAGTCCTGACCAGGGGTCCTGGGTTGTGTAAGAAATGAACTTAGTGAGCCAGGGAGAGCAAGCCAGTGAGCAGCCCCCTCGCATGGCCTCAGCTTCAGTTCCTGCCCTGCTTTTCCTCCATGACTGTCTTAGTTTGGGTTTTTCTGTTGCTACAACAGAGCCCTGCCCAACAAGCAAGCTGGGGAGAGAACTGTTCATCAGACTCACACTTCAGCCTTGCCGTTCGTTACCGAAGGAAGTCAGGATGGAGCTCAAGCAGGGCTGGAACTCGGAGGCAGGAGCTGATGCAGGGGCATGGAGGGGAGCTGCTCACTGACTTGCTTGCTCAGCCCACAGGGATGGCACCACCCACCATGGGCCCGGCCTCATTGATCACTAAATGAGAAGATGCCTTACAGCTGGCTCTCATGGAGGCGTTGCCTCAGCTGAGGCTCCCTCCTCTCTGGTGACTCTAGCTTGTGTCTAGCTGACATAAAACCATTCAGTACAGTGACAGATTGTGACGTGGAAGTATAAGCCAAATAAGCTGCCTATAACTCCACCTCCAGGGGATCCACGCCCTCTTCTGACCTCATTGGGTACCACACACTTATGGTGCACATACATTTTTAAAGGTAAAACACTCATAGACATAAAAATAAAAATTTTAAAGACCACTCCGACGTGATTGACCACAGCTACTCAGAGCCCTCTGCCACTGGCGTCTCAGATTCTAGGAGTTTTCAGCCATACTTGCTAAGGTGAGCTTCACCCCTTTCCCTCAGTGTTGCCTGACCTGCGTGCAAGCCCTCGGCCCACCCTGTTTGGGCCTCCGTATCTCCCCTGTACAAGGGTCACGGCATTGCCTTGCTGAGGGGATTTCTGGGGGAGATCAGCTGGAAGGATGTGTGTGCAAACACCCTGACCATGATCTGGCACACATAATAAAAGTTAGTTGGTATTTCTGCTAATTGCATCCATATCCGAACACTCCCTGGATGGGTGAGGAGGAGAAGGCTGAAGTCACTGCCTCTGTCATCCATGACCTGTGTGAGTTGCTTCACAACTCTGTCTCTGCTTCTCTGTTAGTGAAGACGAATCATAAAACACACTCGTCACAGGTAATGACGAGGGTGAAGTGATGAAACATTGCGAGAGCCGAGAACAGATTCAGGAGGCTCCAGGAAGGACACGGCAGCAGTTCTGATGAGGCCCTGTGGAGACTTGGGTGTTAGCTACCGTAGCACTTCTGAGAGAACTTACAGAGAAAAGCTTTGTTTGAGCCCACAGTTTTGAAGGTCATCCCTGTTGTCTTGGAGTCTGTAGTTGTCTTGGGCAGCCATCAGGGAGCACGCTTCTGAACCAAACCTCATGGAAAACCAGGGAACAAGGAGAAAAGAGGACAGAGTCCCCTGATCTTATTTAACAGCAGCCCTCCCAATGACCTGATGTCCTCCCTGCTAAACCCAGCTCTTAATGCTTCCACTGCCGCCTAAGGGCGCCAGGACAGAAACCAAATCTGTAATACATGGGCCTTTGGAGACCACACTTGGTGCAGTGTTGCCTGCAGGTGCATGAGAATGGATAGGTGCATAGCTGGATGGACGGACAGTGGATGGATGGATGGATGGATGGATGGATGGACAGATGATGGATGGATGGGTAGATGGATGGATGGATGGATGGACAGACGATGGATGGATGGATGGATGGATGGACAGACAATGGATGGACAGATGGATGGATGAATGGACAGACGATAGATGGATGGATGGATAGATGGATGGATGGATGGATGGATGAATGGACAGACAATGGATAGATGGATGGATGGACGGACAGACGGATAGACAGACAGAGGATTTGCTGACTCATTCGATGTTTGTTGAGTGCTTGCCCTGGCTCAGACACTGTCCTGGAGGTGCAACAGTGAACAGATGAAGTCTTTGTCTCACTGGGACAATTATAGTGAGTCTGTGATACAGACCGATAACTTAAAAATGCATCTAGGAGCGACCGGAGCAAGGCAGGCAACTAGAACGAGAAATGAGCTTGCAAGCCTGAAATGATCTGTTGAAAAAGAAAAGCTTAAAAAAAAAGCCCCCTAGTCTTCCCCAGGACTGAGAAAAATCAAGAATCCAGGAGGGAAGAGAGTTGGATTGAGGCGACAAGAGAAAGGTGTGGTCAGATAGGGGAAAGATGAGCTTATGAGGAAGTGTTCCAACAAGGAATTCTCACCACAGACACCAGGACAGCATGTCCCACTCGGGCAGGTGGCTCCCATCCCTTGGGCCCCACCTGCTTCTCTCCTACAAGTTGCCCAGCCTCCTGGATCTGGGATGATGCCAGGCTGTCACACACCTGGACCACAAGGGCAAAGTACACAGTGGAGAAAATGCAGTCACGTCTGTCCCCACTGATGGCTGTCTTCTCCTTTGTAGAACCCACCCCCCCCTACACACACACACACACACACACACACACGCACACACACACACACACACACACACACACACACACACACGCTGCCCTCACTCCTGTCCTGGACCAGGATGCTGAGCTCCTGGGAACTCCAGAGAGTGGAGGGAGAGACAATAGCCCAAGCAGAGGAAGGAGCTGTGAACCAGAGAACAAAGCAGCAGATGCCGCCACCATGGTTGCTGGCTCGGGGGCCTGACTTTTCTTTTCTCTCGTCCTTTATCAGGGCTGAGGTTTATTCGGTGGATGTTCAAAGTCTGCGGCTCTCTGCACACAAAGCCCTAAGTGATGCATGATGCGTGTGAAGGAGATCAATGCACCCTCCATTTCCAAGAAGCTTCACCGTCTGGGGAACAAAAGATAAATGTGGGCCACATGACCTCACCAGGCCCTGCGTTCTGTGAATGGGAAGAGTTGGGTTTTTTGTTTTGTTTTGGTTTTTGAATTTTGTCCCTCCTGGCCTGGTGCCAGCTGGATGGACCTCCTCCCTCCCTCCCACCACAGGTGAACACCCAACTCTTCTCCCATGCTTCCTCTTCAGGGCCATTCCACCACCTGGACAGGGGTGAAGGTGGAGTGGTACCCTCTCAAGTACCTGGATTTTGATCTTTCTCCCCCAAAGATGGGGACAACAAGATGGGCTATACAGAGACCCAAGAGAGACACGGGGAAGGCTAGGAAATGAGGGGCCCCAGGTGCAATGCCGTTACTCCCAGAAACAAAGACACGGAGACACATCAGATTCAAGAACTGCTTGCGTTTATTGGCGACCAGCATAGATCAACAGAAGAAGCGTTGAAAATGGGGAGAGAAGGGAAAAGCATGTGACTGAGCCTGACTGAGCTTCTGCTGAGCTCTATTCCCACTGCAAACTGGGGTTTGGGAGGCTCCCCGAAGAGCCAGGGGGTCGGACTCCGGGAGGAAGCTGATTGGGACCGGAAGGTCGGACTCCAGGAGAAAGCTGATTTCTACCAGGAGGACGGACTCCAGGAGGAAGCTGATTCCAACCATTGCCCCCCCAACTTCCTGCAGGATACCGGCCATTACTCCCCCAGCTACCTGCAGGATACCGGCCATTACTTCCCCAAATTCCTGCAGGATACCGGCCATTACTTCCCCAACTTCCTGCAGGATACCGACCATTACCCCCCCAGTTGCCTGCAGGATACGGACCGTTGGGCCCCCAACTGACTACTGGGTGCCGACCTGCTAATTGACTATTGCTACCCCATATTCCAGAAGGGAATGGCATGGGCCTTCTTCCCCACCCAGTTCCTGCCCCTCCAGCTCCCCAAGATGCACTGGGACTTAGAATCCCCCAAGGAAAACCAGGCAGTAATCTGTGGATGAAGTACAAGAACGGATGCTGGGCGAAGGCTTCTGCCTCGGTTCTCAGCGGACTGGAACCAGGCTGTACAGACTCTGAGTCCTCGGGTCCATAAGCTTCGTATGCGGAGGAAGCCATAGGAAGAGGTCTGCCTCTGGAAAGGTATGGCAGCGCTCGCTCCAAGCGGTCCTCGGCAGCAGCCCCCATCCCTTGCCGAGGGTCCTCCTCGGAGAGCCAGAACTCCATGGGGTACTCCCCCCAGAAGGGAGGCTGGCTGGGCACCTCAGGTAGAGCGCCATCTTGTGAGAATCCAGGGAACCTTGGAAGAACCCGCGGTGGTTCGTGATTCACAAGGTCAGGCTTTGGCTGAGGCTGTCCCAAGCCCGCTGTCTCAAGCTTGAAGAGGCTGGCGAAGGAAGGTTTTCCAGAATGTGGGGAGATTTTCTCCTCTGGTGCCCCAATGCTCCGTGCAAAGAGGCCTGAAGGGGAAAAAATGGAGAAAATGAAGCAGACAGTGGATCGGATTTGGTACCAGCTATTCCTTTGACCCCCATGCCCCCTTCCCTTGCTGCTCCTCACCTCCCTGGGGATTCAGCTGCACACCCGACCACATGTGCACACTCCTGCCTTTACCTATTCACTAATCCCAGTTCCCAAGGACCCCAGTGCCCTCCATACCTGGCAGATACAGACAGATCAGGAGCAGGCCCAGGGGAGCCTGGCTCCCACCTGCAAGGCCCTGCATCTTGCTTCGCTCCAGCAGTCTCCCTGGGCTCCAGGCAGCAGGCTTTATCCCGTTGGTGGGGTGGGGGACAGCAGAAACAGGCTGGGCCAGTGGTTGTGGAGACAATAGATCTGCCCATTCCACCCTCATTCTCGATTCGGTCTGTGGCAACAGGTGTCACTTGAATGTCCCAGAGGAACTGGGTGTTTCCCATACCTGGTTCTTTTCCTTGTACTCCCTGCCCCTTCCTCACCCAGGTGCTCTGGTCCACAGGTCACCCCTAGTTCCCAGCCCTGCCCTGGCTTGTCTCTACCTAAGCCTTAGGATGCTGGTGTCTTCACCGTCTCCCACGGCAGCAGCAACACTCAGCAGGCTGACTCTTGGGATCTAGAACCTCACTCCAGCACCCCTTGTTTATATATCCCCACATCGTCCCCTGGATGCCGACAAGCTGGACATCCTGGGGTGCAAAACTTCCCCCATCTGAGGTGCTCTTCCTATGTGAAGCCCTTAACCTGGAGAAAGAGCTTTGTCCCCCTGAGCCTATAACAAAGCCCCACAAGCTGACGATTCCCAATGCAATGTAATATTGTGGGTTTTGTTTTCATTTTGTCTTTTGTTTCATTTGCTTATTTGTTTCCTATTTTGCCTGGTTTTCTTTGAGGAGAGTGGAGTTGGGGTAAGTTAAGACAGAGTCTCACTATGAGACTGGCCTCAGACATATAATCCTCCTGCCTCAGCCTCCCAAGTGCTGGGATGACAGGCATGTGCTGTCAAAGCCCCTGTAATCAAGCTTGTAAAAGATTTTTTTTAAATATTTATTTATTTATTTATTATACAATGTTCTGTCTGTATGCCTACAGGCCAGAAGAGGGCACCAGACCTCATTACAGATGGTTGTGAGCCACCATGTGGTTGCTGGGAATTGAACTCAGGACCTTTGGAAGAGCAGGCAATGCTCTTAACCACTGAGCCATCTCTCCAGCCCCCTTGTAAAAGATTTTAAAACTGTTTTGTAGATTTTATTTATTTTGTTATTCTATATTATGAGCCCCCCCAGGTCAGAAGGGGGCTTTGGATCCCCTTGGACTGAAGTTACAGACATTTGTGGACCACCATGTGGGTGCTGAGAGTTAAATCTACATCTTCTGGAAGAGCAGCCAACTCTCCAGCCCTTGTTCTATTCTTTTGTAGCCCTGGCTGTCCTGAAACTCACTCTGCAGACCAGGCTGGCCTTGAACTCACAGAGATCCACCTGCCTCTGCCTCCTGACCGCTGGGATTAAAGGCATGCACCACCACCATCCAATTTCTTACTTTATTCTTAATTATGTATATGCGTGTGTGTGCCTGTGGGAGGGGGGATATGCATGTGTGTGCAACGCCCAGAGAGGCCAGAAGAGGGTGTCAGACTCCTTGAGCTGGAATTACAGGTGGTTGCCATGAGCCTGATGTCAGTGCTGGGAACCCAAGTCTTCCTCTCAAGAGCAGCCAGTGCTCTTAACCACTGAGCCAGCTCTCCAGCCCTGTTGTCATTGTCTAGAACAAAGGTCCAGAACGTGTCTTTCTGAGTTAAGATCAAGGGATCTGAAGGACTGATTCCTGTCAGTCGCTCTAGAGAGACTCCACTCCTGGCTGTTTTCAGTTTCCAGGCTCCACCCCCCTCCCCATGCCTCTGGTCTCTTGGCTCTCTTCTCTGTCTTCCAAGTGTTTTCCCACACTCTGTCGTCTGGCTCCCTCTTCTGCCTCCCAAGCCCACATTTTAAACACTGTGTTTATACTGGGCCCACCCAGATAATCCTGGATAATCCCTTTATGGTAAGGTCAGATGACTAATGACTTGAACTGCTTCAGGAGCCCTGTTTCCCTTTGCGGAGTAACCTGACAGATTTGTAAATTCCAAGCACTGGGATGGTGACATCTTTGGTGGTGTTGGTGTGGAGGTGACATTCTGCCTAATGCAGGTGGTCAGACGTAGTCAAAGAATATAAGAGATGGGGTCCGGGCGGTGATGGTGCACACCTTTAATCCCAGCACTTGGGAAGCAGAGAAAGGTGGATCTCTATGAGTTCAAGGCCAGCCTGGTCTACAGAGCTAATTCCAGCTAAGGCTGTTGCATAGAGAAACCCTGTATCAAAAACCAAGAAGAGAGGGGGCTGGAGAGATGGCTCAGAGGTTAAGAGCATTGCCTGCTCTTTCAAAGGTCCTGAGTTCAATTCCCAGCAACCACATGGTGGCTCACAACCATCTGTAATGGGGTATGGTGCCCTCTTCTGGCCTGTAGGCATACATACAGACAGAATATTGTATACATATTAAATAAATAAATAAAAAAACAAGAAGAGAGAGAGGAGAGAGAGAGAGAGAGAGAGAGAGAGAGAGAAAGAAAGGAAGGGGGCTGGGAAGATGGCTCAGCAGTTAAGAGTAATGGCTGCTTTTATAGAGGACCAGACTTTGGTTCCCTGCTGTGGGATAATGCTCTTGTACACTGTAAAGATTTGTCACTCATATTAATTTAATAAGACATTGACTGGCCAGTAGCCAGGCAGGAAGTATAGGTGGGGCAACCAGACTAAGAATTCTGGGAAGAGGAAAGGCACAAAATCAATCACCAGCCAGACACAGAGGAAGCAAGATGAGAATGCCTTAGTGAGAAAAGGTACCAAGCCACATGGCTAAACATAGACAAGAATTGTGGGTTGATGTAAGTTGTAAGAGCTAGTTAATAATAAGCCTGAGCTAAGAGGCCAAACAGTTAATAATTAATATAAGTCTTTGTGTGTTTCTTTGGGACTGAATGGCTGTGGGACTGAGTGGGGCAGAAACTCTGTCTACAGTTCCCAGTACACATATGGAGGCTAACAACCTCCCTTAACAGCAGTTACATGAGATCTGATATTCTTTTCTGGTGTTTGTGGTCACCAGGCATGCAGTCAAAGGGCCGTGACTTCAACCTTGTTGCACTGGGGTGATGGGAGCTCATTAGTGATTTGTCTAGTTTTAAATGGAGATGCTATGGTTTGCATACGCTTTGCTGGTGTTCCTCTCTAGTCTCCAGGGTGGGGATATTGAGAGATGTGGGACTTTTAAGAGGTGGGGTCTAGTGGGAGGTAGGAGGGAGATTAATGGAGACTTGTCTGAGTGAATTAGCACCCTTGGCAAAGGATTCCTATTGGAAGAGTGAGCCTTGTCTCCGATGGCGCGCCCCAGAGCATCTGATCACTGGGAAGCCTCTGGTCCTGGACTTGAAGCTTCAGCCACTGTGGTCGGCACCTGCTCTCTTCTTCCTAAAAGGAGGGGAATGGGTTTGACACTGGGACAGCAGGAAGCTCCCTTTCTAAAAGCTTTGAGAGCCTTGCACATGGAATAAGGGCCTTCCTATAGGGACACCCACAGCCCTTCCTGCGCTAGCGTCTGCCACAGCTGACTCAGGGGTGAGGAGGTGGAGAGGGCACTGTAGGCTCTGTTGTCTTGGAACCGTGTTAACTAGGCCAGTGAGTCACCAGGCTTGGTGCACTGCAGCACACTGGGATGTTGTCTTCCTCTCCCCGCCCCCAGCGCTCAGAACACCCAGGCTCCTGTTCAGTCTCCAGGAATCTGCCTGGGCTGGTCCAGCGTCCCAGAAACTCAAGATCGACTCTTGGGATTCCCAGAGAGGACGGTGTTTCGAGGTGAGGCTCCGTAATGAAGGAGAAGCCTAGGTGGGAGAAGGAAATAATGAGGGCTTTTTGGAGGAAAAGAGAAGGGGAATAGAGCTGAGAAGTGAGGCGTGAAGAGCAAGAATCCGGACACCGGGCAACTCTGACGTCTCAGTTCAATCAGTATTTATTGTTTTCCTTCTCCGTGGGAGGAGGCGTGAGACAGAAAACACTAAACCAAATTACGAAGAGAAACTGGGGACATGCGCCCTCCAGAGGCACATGAGGTGTACTGCCCAGGTACTAGAGAAGGGACCTAGGACTCCAGGAAAGCAAAGAGTTTGCACAAAGTTCACAAAGTTTATTGAGCCCTGTCCAGGATCCCAAGAGAGCCGGGAGTCTGTGCCAGGCTCTGCCGATGCCCTGGGGGTTCACACGCACAGGACAGTATCTGTGGTAACCCAACAGGGGCTCAGATGGCGAGCAGAGGAGGCTCGGGTGCGTAGGGAGTGGGTCTGGTAGGGTGGAGAGGTCACTGAGAAGTGCAGGGTGATGGGCTGGATCTCGCCTTATTTGGCAAACGGACAGAGGCATGGTTGACTTGAAGTGTTTCAAGGACTTCCCAGTCAAGAACCCGAATAAGTGAACTTTAAGGTGGGTGATCAGGCAGAGAGGGCACCACAGCGGAATGGGATGGCAGCACCAGGAGAGGAGAAAGGGACAGAGTCCACCATCGCCGGCGCCGAATAAGGGTGACCAGAGCCTGCGGCACAGGGTTCTCCTGGAAGGCGGGCAGGAAACATCTTCCAGTTGGGAGATGGCTGGCTTGTGTGACTTAAGGCTTGTCAAGTGGCTCTCCCTGTGGCAGGAAAACTTCCGGATCTGCCAACTGGGGCCCCAGAGGCTTCACTTGAGCCAGAATGTCCCGGATGGAACGGCAGGGCACCTTTCCAGGGCTGTTGAGACCACAAGGCTTGACTACCACGGTGGGGACAGACTGAGGAGAGCCATTCAGACCTCCGTTCAGTGTGGAGGAGGAAACGGAAAGGCAGGGGTAGCCGGGAGAGCTAGACTTGCTGCCGCAGGGCTGGAGGACAATTTTGCCGGTGGAGAGGGAGGAGCTTCCCCCACCGATGGAGCCGGTGCCTGGTGGGGAGCAGGGCCCCTGGGAAGCACCGCTGCCGCAGGGCTGGAAGGAGGTAGAGGAGCTGCTGGAAGTGATCTGAATTCTCGAACCGGAGCAAGGCCCCTTAGAACCGACACCACAGGGCTGGACCCCGCCACTGCCCACGGGCTGGAACACGATGCCCGAGGCTGGGTAGGCATTGGAACTGGAAGAGCTGTAGCTGGGGATGATGGGATTGCCGGAGAAGTACTTGCCCTCCGAGACTGGGGGCCCAGCCGCAAAGGAGGGGGCCCCTGGCGAGCCCTTGACAGGGTTGTCCTTGGTGAAGTAGCCCACGGGGTAAATTTTACCCCCACTGTAGGTCATGCCTGGGGCCAGATAACTGTTGGCAGAGCCACCCACCACCTCGTAGCCGCCGTAGGGTTTCTGCACAGAGGTGATGGGAGGACAGGGCTTGCCCGAGGGGCCGCCGTTGCTACAGGGCATGCCTTGAAACCCTCCAGGGCCACCAGAGCCGTGTTGCTCCACCACTACCACTACAGGCCTCTGCCCGCCCGAGACGGTGTGAGAGCTGGAGATGTAAGGCCCGGAGTGTGTGACGACGGGACCCCCACTGCAGGGAGAGTCGGGCACGTTGGAGCTACAGGGCCGCTGGTTGGAGATACTGCTAGACACCACGGAGCTGTGGGAAGTGTAGGAGCCTCCCGACTGGAAGGTGCCTGAGGTCTGGCGGGAAGAGTTGTCATCGGTTGGCAGAGCAGAGCCATTTCCTGGTCCCTCCCGGGTTCTGCTTCCTGAGCTTCCAGACTGGGAGCTGCTGCTTACCCATCGGGAACTGCTGCTTCCTGTCTGAGAACTGCTGCTTCCTGTCTGGTAATGGCTGCCTCCTGTCTGATAGCTGCTGCTTCCCGAGTGGGAGCCACTGCTTCCTGAGTGGGAGCCACTGGAGTGGGAGCTGCTGCCTCCTTGCTGAGATCCGCTGCTTCCTTGCTGAGATCCGCTGCTTCCTTGCTGAGATCCGCTGCTTCCAGACTGGAAGGAGCCAGACCCAGAAGAATAGGGGTTCTGGGAATACCCTGTTCCTGGTTTAAAGATCAGAGATCCTGAAGAAGCTCCCTGGGAACTGCTGGATCCACCGTGGCTGCTGAGGCTGCTGGAGCCAGCCTTTCCAATGAGACAAGGGTTGTTGGGAGAGGTGATCCTCGTGGGGTCCTTACAGGGGTCTGAGAGCGTCCCGATGCTCTTCGCCAAGGTTCCTGGAGGAGAGTAATGTCTGTAAGGACTAGATTGAAACGGGCTCCCCGCCCCCAGTTGTCTGCCCCGTCTCCACAGAGGAACCCAGGCAAGTTCAGAGGTAGAAAAAGGAAGAACTGGCTATCGTCTGTGAAGGAAATGAGGGTGACAGGGTCAGGGCAGTTTTATTGTTCTAGCTGTGGGGATTGAGGGCAGAGGTCATATGTCTTCGATAAAAACAGATGGTAAAACTCTGACATGATGGGCATCAAAGAAGCACCCTTCAGATAGAGGGGGCAAAAACACATAGGTCAGGAACGAGACAGAGTGAAGGGGGGGCAGGACGATCGCGGGTCAGGCCGTAGAACCAAACAGAAGAACATAGAAGGCAAAGCAGGGGTCGGGGGCATAGGCGGAGCGTTGGCTTAGCATGCACAAGACCGTAGGTTTGGTACCACCAGAGGAGGGGGAGGGTGTGTGGATACAGGAAAAGGCAGAGGTGCCGCTTACAGAAGGCGAGCACCCGTCGTAGCTGGTACTCTGTCGCCAGCTCCCTAGAGAGAGTCCAGGCTGCAGAAGGGGTGGGTCAGCAGGGTGCCTGCTTCCTGTCGCAGCACTGGCCAGGCCAGCAAACCTTGGGTGGGGGCCAGGATGTGGGGGCACTCACCTGTTGCTTCAGAACCTGCCTGTACCAGTGTGACAGGACACCGCACCCTGAGCCACCCCTGATGTCCCTGTCCCAGCCCAGGGAGCCCATGGAACCCTCCTCCCCATGACTATCATCAACCTCCCTCTCTCCCCACCCAGCCATCACACGCAGCTGCTGGCCCCATTCTGCCCACATCTGACTCGCTGCCTTGGGCCGTCTTTAGACCCGGACCTCTGTCCTATCCTCTGCCCTCCACCCACTGACCCTCGGCTCCTAGCCTCACGCTCCTTTGGCCTCAGTCTCTCTGTAAAGCTCTCACCTCTGTGTTCTGCCCACCCCGACCCCTTCAGAGCCACACATCAGCAGTTGACTAACCTTCCCTGGGTGATATAGTCAAGGAAGCAAAGAACGCCATGCCCTTCCCACACAGCCACCAGGAAGGCCATTTAATAGCATCTCTCTGGACCACGTGTCCAAAAACAGCAAATGAGACATCGCAGTTCATAACCAATATTCATGTTAGAGTGGTCCACCAGCAGCCAGTCTGCTGTGGCCTGCAAAGTCCCCAGCCTCATCTCCAAAGGCCCTGGTGTACCCTACAACAAATCCTCCCCGCCTGTCCCTTCACCCCTCAGCACAGGACACATATCGCCCAGCCTGGGCTCAGGATCCTGGATGCCCTGCTTCTAACTGCAGTCTGAAGCCAGTTTCCTTCCCCTCAGGCCTTCCGGATCCTGAGCTGCAGAGTGGGAAGGGCAAACTATCACACAGGTCTCAGAATATTAGTGTGTGGAAAGGGCTGGCTACAGTCTAGCGTTTCAAAAGGCTCTAAGCTGAGCGCTGTGGTGGTGCTTGCCTGCAATCGCATGTCTGCCGTCTTAGCTCTCAGGAGGCTGAGGCTAGCTGGACTACAAAGCAAGACCTTGTCAAAAAATTACACACACACACACACACACACACACACACACATATATATGATATAAAAGGGCCAAGTATATAGTAGATCACTTAATAAGCATGCATGCATAAGGCCTGGGGCTTAACTCCCAGAACCTCAGTAAAAATAAAATAAATAAACGCAAGTTAATTAATACATCTAAAATGCTTGTAAAAGGCAGTTCTGGAAATGGTAGCAATTGTTATTCCTATAAGACACCTAGATCCTATCTTCTAGCGGGGCTACCGCCACTCCCACCCCATCTAGAACTTCCAAGCTGTGCCATTTGATCTGAGATGGAGCCTGGGGTTTGACGATAGTCGTCTCTTGTCTAGGCTTCAGAAACAAGCTCAGAACATTTACATAGGCCTTGAGGATGGCGCAGAGGCAGAGCACCTGCCTGTTCAGCTCCTGTGGAGCAAAGGAAGTGGCCAGACAAGGATGAGGAGCAGTCCCAGTTAGCCTGCGCCCCTCTCCTGGACCCTGTGCTGCAAGCCCTGGATGGCCCCCAGCCTCTCTGACCTAGCCCTGGGTTCCACGCTGTCCCTCTCCCAAGGCCCCAGACTCCTACCTGGTAGAATGAGACTGGCCAGCAACAATGCCATCAGCCCGTGCCCGCCCACACACCCCATCCTGGGTGCCCGAGAGGAGCTCATTGTGCACGGTGTGGCCTCCAGACTGACAGAAGCTCACGGACACGGGGACCTTTATGCTGGGCTGGACATTCTCTGGGCAGGAGTCACTGTGGGGAGGAGGAGAGATGGAGGGGGAGGCTGCCTGAGGCAACTTGGTGTGGCAGGAGGCTGAAGCAATCAGGTATCACATGTGTCTACTCAGCAGCAGTGATGGCTGCAGGGGACCCCAGGCCACTGGGCAAGAGCCCCTACCTTGGCTGGCCTTCCCGAGGGTCCTTATTGCCTAATCTAGAGCCAGCTGCTCTGCCCTAGGTCTACCTCCTCAAGGGTGGCCACTCTCACCCAGGAACCCAGTCACCCTGCTCTTCCCTCCCTGGCCTGCCCAGATCCCATCCTCCCAGTGTCCCTCCACTGGAAGAAGGGTGGACATTTTAGCTTTCCCTCCTGACCCCAAGAAGCACCCTGCCCCTGCCCGTCCCCAACTCTGCTGGGGCTCACATTGTTGCCCCCATCAGCTTGTTTCCTTGGCTTCTTCTGTCACTCAGTCTTCCCCTCCTGCTTCGGATCTGAAGATCTGCCCTCACCCCGGACTCCCTTAGAGCTGCTGCCTTAGTACCAGCCTGCCGCAGGCCTAGGAAAGTGTCCCATCGCCAAGCAAGCCCTTTTTCCTTCTCAGAAACAACATCCACACACTAAAAACCTGAGGGTTCCTTTCTGGGGGCTCTTGGGATAATTGGGTGGTGGTAGGGAACCGTGGTTACCAGAGCTTGGATGAGGGAGAGGCCTGGGTTGGGACCCCTGTCATAGCTGGGCCTCAGTGACTCACAGGCCGCTCACAGTGCTCACAGTCCCCATCCCATGGTAGTGACCCAGACTCAGGAGGATGAGCAAGAGGCCAATGAGGCTAATTGTGAAGGTGGTGGCCAGGCTGCCCATTAGCCTGCCCCTTGGCCTGGATGGACAAACAGCATCCGAGGCTTGAGCCTGAGTAAGAAGGGTCGGATCAGCTGCTGGATCCCTGAAGGAAGAAGGGTCAGAGACCTGGGACCCAGCAAGAAGGAGGAGGTTTCTCCTGCACTAATGTCCCTCCCTCCTGCTGTGACCCAGGCCCCACCCCAGCCAACTACTCACTAGCACTGTGGGAGTATCAGTATCAGTTTGCCCTCACTCGGTCCCTCCTCCCCTCACACAAACTCCTTCCAGAGGTCCCTCTCCTCACAAGGGCATCTCTGTCCCTCCAGCCCTTGGCTTGGCCCCTCCCTTTCTCCCTGCCCTGCCCTGAGTTCTGAGAATGTGGCCTGTGTCATGAGACCCCAGCTCTGCCCAGGCCACACAGGCTACAAATGCTTACAATGGGACTGGTGTAGCTCACTGATGCTTACAGTGGGACTGGTGTAGCTCACTGATGCTTACAGTGGGACTGGTGTACCTCACTGATGCTTACAGTAGGACTGGTGTAGCTCACTGATGCTTACAGTGGGACTGGTGTACCTCACTGATGCTTACAATGGGACTGGTGTACCTCACTGATGCTTACAATGGGACTGGTGTACCTCACTGATGATGCTTACAGTGGGACTGGTGTACCTCACTGATGATGCTTACAATGGGACTGGTGTAGCTCACTGATGATGCTTACAATGGGACTGGTGTACCTCACTGATGATGCTTACAGTGGGACAGTGTACCTCACTGATGCTTACAGTGGGACTGGTGTACCTCACTGATGCTTACAGTGGGACTGGTGTACCTCACTGATGCTTACAATGGGACTGGTGTACCTCACTGATGCTTACAGTGGGACTGGTGTACCTCACTGATGATGCTTACAATGGGACTGGTGTACCTCACTGAGTTTTTTATGTTCGATTTAAGTTTAATTAAGTCTAAACAACCTTGTACAGCTGCAGGCCGCTGTCTGGTCTTTCACTTCCTGGTGGTGCCTAGAGGAAGGACTGGGAAGGAGAAAGTCCAGGGAGCCCTGCAGAAAGCAGTGACTAGAACATAAGCCCCTAGCTGGGCAATGGACTGGGACCACGAAACAACCGAGGCTTTGGAACTGAGACGACAGGGGTTTAAATCCTGCCTAGTCCTAGGTTTCAACAACCAAGGCTTTGGAACTGAGATGACAGGGGTTTAAATCCTGCCTAGTCCTGGGCTTCAACAACCAAGGCTTTGGAACTGAGATGACAGGGGTTTAAATCCTGCCTAGTCCTGGGCTTCAACAACCAAGGCTTTGGAACTGAGACGACAGGGGTTTAAATCCTGCCTAGTCCCAGGCTTCCAGCCATTTGATTTCTTTCTTCACCTGTAAAGCGGGAGGTGGGGTGGGAGCCCTGAAGTTGGAACCCGAGGCCTTGCTCATGTCGGGCTGTTGGTCAAGTGTGGCGTAGCGTTGAGTTACTTCTCCTTCTACTGGACTGTTTCTGTAATTTCCTTGTTTTAATTTCATGTGGGTGTGTGGTTTGCCTACATGTGTGTAAGTGCAATCCTGTGTGTAGTTCCTGAAGAGGCCAGGAGAGAGAGCTGATTCCCTAGAACTGGAGTTACAGATGGTTCTTAGCCTCCATGGAAGGTGCTGGAAATCAAACCCAGGTCCTCCGGGAGAGCAGTTCTCACGTATAACTGCTGAGACATCTCTCTAGCCCCCTGGGATTGTTTTAAATATTGCCTGCTTTAGTCCCAGCACTCGGGAGGCAGAGACAGGTGGATCTCTGTGAGTTCGAGGTCAGCCTGGTCTACCAAGTGAGTTCCAGGACAGGCTCCAAAGCTACAGAGAAACCCTGTCTCAAAAAACAAAACAAAAAAAGTTGCCTGCTTTCACAGGTTTGTAAAGATCAAACAGGAAATTACCAGAAAGAGTAGCTTAAATGGGACCAGGGAGTGTCCCCTGAAGGGTGGCTCACTGGCCATAGTTCCCAGTTGCTCTCACCCCGGAGACAGAATAGTGGAACCTGTGGTTCCTCCCCAACCCCTCCCTAGACTCTCAGGCCCCAGCCCGGACCTGGGGAAGGAGTGGAACTGAGGCAGGGCAAAGAGCGGCAGGGACAAGACAAGGGAAAGGAGCCTTTGTGGTCTGAGAATGTGGGCATCTGCTCTCCGGCATCACTCCCCGAGTAGGCATCCTTTGTCTGTCTTGTTTTCTTCTTTCACATTCCTCCCTGCTGCTGTCAGAACTTGGCCAAGAGAGCCAGGCTGGAGGAGGCAGTCTCTCTCGGCCTCCCGCCAGCTTCCAGCCACCCACGTGGTCACATTCCTCACCTGGCCTCTCTCCTCCTGTCTTCTCTGTCCACCCTCTTCCTATCCCCCCACTGCATGCCCACATCTGGGGCCTAGAAGCTCCAATCAGTTCTCTGTGTACTTACCTAAACATCTGCTCCCCCTTATCCAGTTTCCCTCCCCGCTGTGTCCATTATCCAGGGCCGGAAACTGATGCCCTGAAAGGGCTGGAGAGAAGACTCAGTGGCTAAGAGTGCTGGCTGCTCTTCCAGAGGACCTGGGTTCAATTCCCAGCAACTACGTGGAGGTTCACAACTGTAACTCCAGTTCCAGAGAAGCTGATGCTCACTCTGGCCTCTTTGGTGAACCCACATGGTGCAGTTACAAACACACATAGCCAAAAGACCAATGCACATTAAATATATGTTTTTAAAATGTCAATAATGCATCTGGAAATTTCAGAAACAAGCAATTTGTTACTTGTAAACTTCCAATATATTACATTGTTATAAGTGTCCTGCTTTACTGTTTATCTCAGTGTAATACATTGTAACATATTGAAACCCCAGTTCAAAGGGTGAACCTTTGAGAGGAAGGTCCAAGTCAAAGGGTGGGAGAACTCCAAGGCCAGCCTGGTCTACAGAGGAGTTCTGGAGCAGTCAAGGCTACACAGAGAAACCCTGCCTGGAAAAAACAAAAACAAAACAAAACAAACAAAAAGAACTCTATTCACCTCAGCATCCCCAACCTTAGGGAGATGTGGACAGATGGGAGGAATAGGCTGGCCAAAGAGGAGGCTGAGGTGAGACAGATAACCATCCACTGGCCGTCCACCCATGGAGTGAGATAGCCCCTTCACTGGCCGTCCACCCATGGAGTGAGATAGCCCCTTCACTGGCCGTCCACCCATGGAGTGAGATAGACCCTTCACTGGCCGTCCACCCGTGGAGTGAAATAGCCCCTTCACTGGCCGTCCACCGTGGAGTGAGATAACCCCTTCACTGGCCGTCCACCCGTGGAGTGAAATAGCCCCTTCACTGGCCGTCCACCCGTGGAGTGAGATAGCCCCTTCACTGGCCGTCCACCCGTGGAGTGAGATAGCCCCTTCACTGGCCGTCCACAGCCACCCATGGAGTGAGATAGCCCCTTCACTGGCCGTCCACCCATGGAGTGAGATAGCCCCTTCACTGGCCGTCCACCCATGGAGTGAGATAGCCCCTTCACTGGCCGTCCACCCATGAAGTGAGATAGCCCCTTCACTGGTCGTCCCCCATGGAGTGAGATAGCCCCTTCACTGGCCGCCCACTGCCACCTGGGGGGCAGAATAGCAGAAATCCTAGAATAAGAATTCCTTAGAGGGGGTCTTATGTGGAGTGGGGTTAGGCTGGGGAGAAGGAAAGGGACAAAGCGGAAAGGCTGAGGGGCCTCTCTGAGGCTGCCCAGAGCCCACGGGCTCCTCCCCTCTCCCTGAGTTCCTGTCAGAGCCATCTCTCTTCTGCCCTCTTTCATCACCCGTCCGTCAAGTGGACTCATCTCCAGTCACACGCCTTCCTCTCCCTCGGGTAGAAGGTGACACTCCTGCCCACTCCCACTGAGCTGTTTTTCCTGTAGCGTGGATGGGTGGCCCTGACTCACCCACAGTCTTTATCTGGTGGCTCTCAGGACCTGGACACAGAAGGATGGGATTTATCTGCATGTAGAGTCCCTACCAGACTAGGCTCCCTTTGACAGAAAAATGACTCTTAGGGTCCCCATCTCTTCTCAGCCCCCCTCCTGGGAGCACTCTGCCCACGGCATCTGCC